ATAGTTTAGTAAAATTATATTATATATATATATATATAGATATATATATATATATATATATCACAGAATCCATGCTGGCATTTAGAGACAGTCATCACTCTCAACATTAATGAGAAAAGTCTTCCCTTTGTCGTAAACAATGATGAAAATAGAGATTTGTTAATATACAAGGTACTGGAATAGTAAGATTTGTGTACTCAGTAATAGGGAAGACATTTACACCACACTCCCTCCATGATTTAATGGAACATGAGGATGAAGGGTCACTAAGATATAAATCTAGAATGTGCTAATAACTGGGTATGAAATATCTTCTTGGCTATACACAGCCATTAAAATCACAGATTCAACAACTACAGATACCACAATGTGTCTGTACAAGAATGGGACATCAGCAAGCAAGCACGAATGGAGGAAGGCATCAGGGCCCAAGGTCCTCAACTCTGAACCATTTCATGCTGATAGATTCAGGTGAAAGGGGAATCTGTCCTCTCAGTCTATACCCACCCACTAAGGAGGAATCCGGTTTCCAAAATACAGTTCTAATCTAATGTTACACATGTGCTCCAGTTAAACTTAATCCAATGTACATCAAAACTCAAATTTTACAAATCTGGGAAGAGGGCAGACAAGGATGAGGCGTTGCTGCTAGAGTTAGAGGGTTGTGAGCAGACAGAATATTGACAATTCATTGTATACATGTAAGAAATTATCAAAAAAGTAAATTAAAAATAAAATACAGAAAAATATTAAAGTTTGCTTTCAGCTCCTATATTTATTAATAGTATTTCTTACTGAAAATAGCTTCTCCTATTCTTATGTTATTTGGATCTGATATATTTTACAAAACACCGTGTCAGTTAGAAGATTGTCTTCTCACTGCTGCTCCTATTGGGAGATGGTGTAAAGTTCAGGAAGTGCTGGTCTAGTTGAAGTAACTTAGGTCACTGGGGCTATGCCTTTGATGGAATTCTGGGATGCTGGCCACTCCTTTCTAGTTGTGTTCCTGGGGGACAGGAGGCATGCAGCTTTGCCTTAGCATGCACTCCTTGACATAATACTCTGCCTGTCACAGGCCTATAATGATGGGAGTCAGCAAAACTGTAAATAAATCCTTGTTTTATCTTACTTCAGCAATATTCACACAAATTTAGAAGAATGAGTATAAAGAGATCCTTGGCCACTCCCCTTTTTGGCTTAGGGAATATCAGGCTTAAGTATGTTACACATTTACCATGGACTTCTGGATGAAAGAAAGACACATGGATGCATATAGACAAAAACCTGAAAAGAAAGAAGGGACTATCCCAGAAATAAAACACCCTTGACCCAAATGTCACTGTGTTGTACACATGTTAAGAAGCCACTGAAGCCCTTCAAAACAACACTCTCCAAAGAAGGAAACATAATTTCTGTCAGATGTGTGTCAAATTCAGTACATAAGGAATAGCCTGGCAAAAAATATTGTGTTTAAATAGCTCACAGATGGGTTCTGGGCACCCACTGTCTCTGATCAGTAACTCTAGAGCAAGGTAGCTGTCATCAAGGAATCTATGCAGTAGCTTATATGTAAGGAAGGGAGATCTCTTGTCAAAGCCTTGTGAGTGTAATATGTTGGACTTAGGACCTACATCTCAGCAAGGGCTCCTGATGACTGCCAGTCACAGCAATCTCTGAGAGCACCACACTGATGCAGAGCCAGTATGAAATTCATCATCACATCTGGACCACAGGAATGGGGAGAAGTTATTCACATTTCAGCAAATATTTTTGATGGATATTTGCTACAATGCAAATAAATAAAATTAATTATATGACATTCTGATCCAATAATTTGCTAAAATCCTGTAAAGGTTTTATTAATTAGAAAAATATAAGTATGCAATATGTAAATTTCAGTAGAAATAAATTATGAGTTATTTTTTATAATTTGTATTCATATTACTTGAAATCTCAAATTTTCATATTACTTAAAAATATAATACTGTGTTCCACAGCCCTGCTCAGGGACACCTGAGGCAGGGGGACTGCTAATGGGATCCCATTTCCACGGGATCCAACACACCCAGAGAATGCCAAGGCCCCAGTACCAGTCTTGCCTTCATGAGAAGAGGACAGACATTAGAAAACTGGATCTATTTGCATCTACCAGAAGGGAACCTGGGACCCATACCCACCAGAGAGGAAGAGGTTCCAGCTAAAACCACTGGAAGAAAGGATGGGAAGAAGACAATATAAAAGCACATTTAACAACAGAAAAACCAATATGATGCCACCAGAGACTAGGGACTCTATACCAACAAGACCTGAACATCACAATGCAGATGAAGCAGAAGAGAATGACCTTAAAAACATCTTCATGAAAATGATACAGGGCCTCAAAGAAGATATGAGAAAATCCCTTAAAAATTTAAGTAATTATTTGCATTAATCAGACCAGCAATTTAAAGCTAGGTATCAACCACAACAGAAACAACAGAAAGCTTACAAACCCATGAAAACAGAACAACTCTCTACTGAATGAAAAATGTGTCAAGAGATAAATTAAGAAAGAAAAGAAAGACCCTACAACCAAATGAAAATAAGTACACAACATACTCAAACTTATGGGCTACAATGAGAGCATGTCTAAGAAGGAAGATTCTAGTACAAGTACTGAGTTACATCCAAAACAGTTATTGCAAAATGGTTCCCACGGAATGGCCCAGACAATCCAGACAGTTGCCAAGGTAGGAAAATGCTCTCTACAAGCTGACAGCAAGGCCCTGTTATTGAAGAAATAGTCACACAACTCATTGAACATGAGAAGGTCAAGCTGGTACCTGCATAGTTTTGTGTTAAATATGTGTATATGAATGAGTGTTTTCTGATTCTTTTGGAATTTTTTATGTTGGTTTGCCTTATCCAGTGTCAATGTGATGATGTTTATTTTACCTCATTTTATTTTCTTATGTTTGGTTATGTTTTGTTGTTACCTTTGAGAAGCCTGTTCTTTTCTAAAGAAAGACAAAAAGGGAATATAGATGTAGATGGGGGGTGGGGGAGATGGGTACAAACTTGGAAGAATAGAGGCAGAGGAAACTATAATCAAGATACATTATATAAGAAATTAATCTATCTCAATAAGAGGAGAAAAGAATTAATTACATGATATATATTATGATGATGACAAAAATAGATATAGTTGAGAGACAGATGAGACATACATATATATGAAAGACAGATAGCAATTTAGTCAGACAGACAGCAAAACGGGTAGCAAAAAATTATCAAATTGGCTCCAGAGAATAACGTGAAGACATACATGAGGCAAACTGTTTTATTGCAGCTAGCTGGGGCTGGTGTTCCAAAGGGCACAGCAGTGTCCCATTACATGAGGCTTCCAAATATAAAACAAAACTAATGGAAATATACATCATCAAATTTTCTTATAGATATATAGCATAAACTGAGGAAGCATGTGTAAGGCTAGCCAGCAGGAGTTCCCCATCGAGATTCCCAAGAAGAGCAGAGAAAACAAGGAAATATGAGTCATGGCAAGTCCATCTATGGGGGGTGTGTGTGAGGAGAATCAATAGAAAACTCCAGCTTACTGTTTCCACTCTTCCAGGAAGTTGATGTGATCTCTATCTGCTGCTATTTGTTCTATTTCTTAAAAACCTTATCCAGAGGACTCTCAAAGTGGAAGTCCAGATACATGCCATAAATTAACCACCTTAGTGGACTAGTGCTTGATATCTTGAGTGCCTGAAATAATGTTTTACTGTTTGCCTGTCACCTATTTATCTATTTCTTACTTGCTATGTACTCTTCTACTTTTGTTGCTATATACTTAGTAAAATTATCAGTAAATTTAAAAGAAAAAATTATGAGCATTGTAGGTCATTCTCCAGACTATAAAGAATACCAGACAAACTATTTACAAATAGCATTGTACATACTGAGCTGGATGTGTTTAGGGATATATTTATGTATATATGTATACAAATATCCCATATATAAACACACATATACATATATAGATATAAATACATGAATGCAATAAAAAATCAGTGAAAGAAGAGGCCATGAGTTGGAGAAAAATGAAGGATATATGGGACAGTTTGGAAAGAAGAAACAAGGGTGAAATCTAACTATATCATAATCTCAAGAATTATAAAAGCACCAAAAATTCAAAGCAAATGTCTTCTGCTCTTTGACAGGATGGATTTCTTCTCTCATTAGGTGACTATTTTCCAATGATTATAATAAATTTGAAATGCCATAGCATAACAAAATAATTAAAATCTCTGAAGTAATAATTATACATATTTGTTACAAAATGTGAAAGATCTAATCTTTTAAGTTTTTAATTATCTTGATCCTATCTTTTTTCACTTAAATGAGGCCTGACAAATTACATAAATAACCCTTAATTATATGTAAGAATTAGCAAACATGGAATAGTGAAATATAGAATACCTAAGACCAGAGTCAAGCATAGTGTCTAATTTCCAGAATCCTACACCTTTGTTTGAGATTCCTTGGATGTGATGGCATTCTGAAACCCTGAGTGACAGCTGTGAAATCCTGGTAAAGGGCACAGTGTTAATACTGAGGTAACAATTTCTACTTTCTAAGTGCATTGCAGAGACCCAAAAAGAAGAAATTGTTGGCACTTTGGTGTCTTACATTTGAAATAGTAATATCCTTCATTGACTTGTTAAAAGGCATTTCCATGTGACTAATGATAATTTGTTTTAAATGGGAAAAGTTTCTCATTTTAGTGACTATGATGATAAAGCTTGTCCAATCTGTAAAGATAAATTAAATCCCACATGGATTCAGAGGTGTTTAGAGTCTATTGGGAACTTTGTTTAATTTAAGTTGAATATCTCATTGAAAATTCATCATGCTACTTTATTATATGCACACTTTAAAAAAGAATTTCTTTTTGTCTCTCCAAATTATATTTAGAAGCCATTCACAATTTGAGGTTTGAGGAGAGAAAACAGCTCATTTTATTAAATTTTTTCACTTTAATAACTTATCAGAAACTCCATAAATAAATCTGATTTTATCATTCGATTTTTCCTAATTTCTCACTTAAATTTTTATAGTTTATTTTCTATGTCCAATATTTTATAATAAAATTTTATTTTAAAAGAAAATTTAAAATTAATTAAAAATATTCTCATGCACACACAACAGATGAATATATCTGACTAGAGAGTATATGTTTCAAATCTTTTTCCACTTACCTTCTCCTTTGGCAGTAGAAAGCCATAGGATTAAAAGGACATTGGCTAAGAGCAACATGCCAGACCATCCCATCTTCTAAAACCTAAAGCTCTTCAGCAGTGTTGGTGCTTGTGGGAATCCTGACATTAACAGTACTGTGTGTGACTTTGAAATTCAGTGCATTCCTGGAAGCCAGTTTGGTAAATATCAAAGGTCAAAGGAGGAGGGATAATATAAACAACATTCAAACATTGTTTTCACATTAATACTTTAAATTAATCATTTTACATTTATTAAACAATAAAAAGCATTCAGTTTCTTTGTTCCAGTCTCTTAGACAATCAAACTGAAGTATTCAGAAAGGAAGAGGTGAGATCACATATCTTTCTTTAAATATTTTTATTTTAAATTTTTATTTACTTACTTATTTTAACTTATTTTTCTCACTTATGTTTTTGTTTTTACATCCCAAACAAAGTTTTCCCTCCTTCCCCCTCCCTCTATTCACTCCTTCTCCACTGCTATTCTTCAGATATAGGCAGGCCGCCTAAGGATATCAGTCAGTCCTGGTATACCATAGCTGGAAGGGTAATCCAGTAGAAGGGTTGCCTCCCAAAAGCAGGCAACAGGGTCAGACATCCACTGTTCTCACAGTTAAGAGTCTCACATGAAGATCAAGTTAAATAACTGTAACATATATGCAGAGGGCCTAGGTTAGTCCCATGCAGGTTCCCTGGTTGTCAGTTCAGTTCTGTGAACCTCCTTGAGCCCACATTAGTTGGTGCTGTGAGTTTTCTTGTGGTGCCCTTGACACCACTGGGACCTGCAGTCCTTCCTTCCTGTCTTCCACAGGAGCTCTGCCTAATGTTTGTCCCTGGATCTCTGTATCTGCTACCATCGGTTTCAGGTGAAGCTTCTCTAATAAGAATTAGGCTAGGAACCAATATATGAGATGGCAGAATATCCTTAGAAGTACTTGGAGGCATGCAGTAACAATTCATGAAAAAAAAGGTTAGAGTAAAAGAACAAGGAGGATTATCTGGGATGCTTTGTAAGTAAGAATGAACAGGAGAAATGTAATTATTTTATAATCTCAAAAATTATAAAAATACAAAGATTTAAAAGAAACATTATTTGTCATTATGTAGGATGGATTTTATTCTTTATGTGACTGCTTTCCTATGATTACAACTCAAAGTGAAAAGTCATAGCACATAAAATGGGATTAACTCTCTGAAATAATGTTATAAATTTTGAAAGTGAGGATTTTAAAACAAATGTAATGTGAGGAGTGACAAGTTAAACATATCACTCCTATTCATGGGGAAACATTACCAAGCAACAAATGAGGAAAAAGACTTCCAGAAAACAGAGTCAAGCACCGTGAATAAATACCCTCTCCTACAACAAGTTTAAATCATTATTTGTGATTTTATGAATGTAGTGGATTTATGTCCCA